GCCAGAAAGTGGTACCGTGCTAATGGTAAGAATAGTAAGAATAGTAATAATTGTATTAGTAATGTTATTATTATTATTATTATTATTATTATGAAAAAGAAGAGCGTAATATTTACCATGTGGAATGGATGATTAGCCGAGTTATTATCTAAACAAATATATATATAATATTTTTTTTTAAATTAATAAAAAGTTTTGATAATATTTAATAATATTCAAGAATAAAAATATTCAAGTTATAACTTACTAAACACGACCAGTTCAAGAATACCATCTTTGTCATATTCAGCTGCGTTTTGTGATTTTGGCAAAGTTTTTGCATCAATATGTTTTTCAATAATGTCCAAAAGTGTTGGGTTGGAATAAGTTGGAGAGTAACTTGAATTGTTTATTCTTGCTTCAGATACATTAGTTTGTGCATTACGGCCAAATGTTACGTTGAGTGAAAGAGAATCAGTTTTATCAGGGCATGGGGTATCTGCTAATGGTTTTAATTTATTACTGTCAAGATTTCTACATGGAGTAACTTCATCAGGAAATGCTTGAGAATTAGGATCTTTATCATCGGAACCTTCATAAGAGAGGATGCCGCGAATATCATGTTTGAGAAGTGAACCAGAATTAATAGTCTGATTATTGTTAGCAATACATGATTCAGACATATTAGCGCGCATCCAGAAGTTTCCACCATCTTGATTAGCTTCAACTATTACAGAGTATCGTTGAGCTATATGAAGACCAATTTGATTAACTTCGACGGGTTTAATCAAAGTTCCTTCAACTTCAATTATTTTCATCTTATGACCATCAATTGAAAAGGCGTAATATGCTTCAGCACTATTTCATATGAATAAATTTCAAGTGATTTCAAGTAATTTCAATGTAAGTATTAATTTCAACTTTAATTGATTAAGAGATTATAAATTTAAAATACCTGGTATTAATTATACGGAATCTATATTTTTTTCCTTTTTTAACTTTGTAAACTGCATAAGGAGCACATTTGGATCCGGATTTATCATCGCAATTGTATTGACCTCTTCCACTTATAAGACCTGAATCAGGGACGGGCTAAATATAAATGTAGATAAATAAAAATGTAAATAAAAGTGTAAATAAAAATGTAAATAATAAAAGTGTAAATAAAAATGTAAATAATAAAAGTGTAAATAAAAATGTAAATAAAAATGTAAATAATAAAAGTTGATAGTACTAACATTAAGTCCTGCATATCCTGGAGCCAAGTTCGCAAAT